AATTTTTTGAGCATGTTCCTCATTAAGTCTAGTTTGTCCATACCAAATTTCAGCTCAAAATTCACCATCGGGAAGCCATTCAAATCATTTTTTGAAGTTGACTGCACCAAAATATACATATAAAAACGCACTCAGCTTCAAAAAATGATTTGAATGCCTTCCTGGTCGAATTTTGAGCTGAAATTTGGTATGGACAAACTAGACTTGATAAGGAACATGCTAAAAAAAATTCATCAAAAAATTCCACCGGGAACCGCCCCAAACGGCGAAGTTCGGACGGAGGCTGGACAGGGGAGGGAGGGAACTGAGCATTTCTGTTACTTTGATATACAAGAAAAGAATTTCTAATGTTAAAGGTTCTAACAAGACATTATATTGGAACAAGAATAATACGAGTAGTTGATTAGCAAAACTAACGAGTTGTCTTTTACCTGGACTGTTTCTGTAGTTACACAAATGGAGGCTTTTAAAATTGAAAAGTGTTGAGAATTTTTAAAGAAATTAGCCTGAAGTGCAGTGTTTTCAGTATGTTCACTTTTACAATTTCGTATTTGGAATTTATAAAAAATAAATTAAAAAAAAAATAGGGTCCCAATTTCAGGTCAGCTAGGTCATATGAAAAAAATATGAGCAGGTGGCGCTGATGTGTTAATTTCCGGCGGAATTATTACTCTCCGGCATAAATGTCCTGAAATTGGACAAATATGTTAATTAGAGGACGTATTATGCAAGTAAATGAAGTTAGAGGACCAATATCGGGCACGACCAAAAGTTACGGGACTAATTTAACAAATTTCCCGTGTGCAAGTTGAGTTGTAAACGAATCGAATCGAACCGAATACTTAACAACATTATTCGTATTCGTATAATTATCGAATATTCGTATTCGTATTCGTTTAATATCCGAATATTATTTTATATTCGTATTCGATTCGTTTGTATATTCGAATATATTCGAATATTATTCGAATAATATTCGTATTCAAAAAACATTAATGTTAAATTATGAAAATAATTAAAACTATCATGTATAATTTGGGCCTATTACCTCATTTTGATAGTTTATATTTGTGGAAATATCCGGTTAAGGTCACTTTCGCGTGTGACATATCATTTGTGTCCCAATTCTTTTTCCTTTTCAATTTTAACCTTTTGTATTTTCAATAATGTTTATTCCTTTCACTTTTAACTATTCTTTCTATCCTACCTATTCATATACGAGCAAGACGCAGGCAACACATATTCCAAAGGAGAGTCGGTGGGAGGCCGAGGAGAGCAAGGTTGCGACGAATTGGAGATCGGTCAAGTGGAGACTAGCGGCGCTGGAGGAACGAGCTGCGAGTGGCGGCTCTGCTTAGCGACAGACGGCGTTATGACAGAGGCGGCGAAGCTCATACTCAGGACTGTTCGCCGGATGCCGATGAGTCAATCCGCACATGAGCTGCGAGTCAGGTCAAATTCTTCATTCAAAATCTGTATTTCCAGATCTGTTTTCCTTTTCCAAGCAGATTTTTCATTTTTTTTGCAGAATTTAATTTCTGTTTTTTGGAATTCCTTTTGACTGAATTCTGAAATTGTCGAGTAAAAAAAACTAATATGTGGCACAGGAAGACGCATTTAGAGGCAATCGTTGTATGTAGGAGCAATTCTCATTCGTGTTCACATTTAATAATACAGTATAGCCACTTCAAAAAATTCACCTGATTGTTTATCCTTTTTTTATCCGCGATTGCTTATCCATATATTGATAATTTTCCTGAAATTGATGTCTGTTAAACACTTCGAATTTGGTGAGTTCATATGAAAATATTCTAATTTTCGTATATAATTGTTTTATGTCATACAATGCATTGTTGGAACTTCATTCTTACATTTTGACAGATTTAATCGTATTGGGTTGCAAGTTTGAATGCATAGGGGGGGTTTCTATGCTGCTATTTTGCTATTGCCAGGTATTCAAACACAGCAAGTAGTTACTCTATTTAGTCTTATGTGGAGTTCAGGGTCAGGGGGATGGTTTAGTCTTATGTGGAGTTCAGGGTCAGGAGGATGGTCTAGAGATTTTCTAATTATTTCTTATTTGCTTGCTATAGGGATTAGGCTATTCTAGTATGACATCATATTTTATCTCTTAGCATGTTGTAGTTCTTAATATTCAACCACACATATTTTTGTTCTCCAGAATTATTTAGACTGCAGCTAATGTTATTTGTAATTGCCACAAAGGTGTGGACCTTGAGGTTATGCTTTGATTACAGACTAATGTAGTATTAGTGAAAGCTAACAAATAATATGTCTATTTCGATCTTGAATGTCATTCTCCCAAGACATGTTGATTTTTCTAAAAGCTACTAATTCTTTTTTACTCCAGAATGTTACTCTTTTGTTCTTAAACTGAATTTTTAGAACTCAGTTAATACACAATTTTGGTTTCTTGTGTCCTTAGCAGGTCTGTAATATATTGACAAAGTAAACCAGTTTTTTTCAATGCAATCTATTTGTAACAGAACTCTGAGAAAAAAACAAAGTAACCTTGCCTTCTATTTGCAGTTGGAAAGATTTGAAAAATGAAAACTCTCTCTCGTTCTGAAGGATCACATTTTTAACCCAGATTTCGAAGCTTCTCAGAGAAAACTCGAACATACATATGTGCTGAAATTCAGGGAAACTCCTCCACTCCCCAGTAATGAGTATATGCATTTGGAAAATAGCAAGCTTGAGACTTCTATCTCTGGAAACCGATCGAATTGATCTTGATTCGAGGGATTTAGCTAGGATGTGCTGAAATAAAAGCTGTCAGAGACATTTGTAGTTCATGTATTCTGCAAGTCTGCTTGTAAGAAGTACTATATATGTTATAGGTTATGTGTAAATGTATATTTAGAAAACGATCTTGTCTGTACACTCTTATACAAGTATATTGTATAATGATAATTGTAATTCTAATGATAAATATGAAAAGGCAAATTTAAATGTGTGTATTTTATGTTGTTTTTTTCTTTTTGTTTCTCTTTGTTTTATCATGTTGCTTTTTGTTGCATCTTGTTGCTTTTTGTTGATATTTAACAATGCCCGATTTTAATTATTTTTCTTAATTTTTGTATTGATGTTTCTAGGTATTTTTCTATTTTGGTGCAAATACACTATACATGTGTGTGTAGATGACAAAATTTCATATAATAAAAACACAAGAAAGATAAAACAATAAGAAACAAAATTTGAAATTCATCAACAAAAATAAACAAAAGGAAACAAAAAGTAATCATATACAAATTAAAATAGTGCAACAATAGGAAACATATATAAAGACAAAATCTATATAGTTGTATATATAAACACAATAATGATAAATTCTGATTTATGAATATAAACAACTAGAAACATAAATAAAACAATAAGAAACAAATATTTCAGAGTTATAAACAAAAAGAAACAATTTGAAACAAAAACTAACAATAAAACAATAATTATAATAATAAAAATATTAAGTTCTTTTGTTTACTGAGTTTTTGAATATTACACTCTTTAGGTTACATTAATTATCTGGTTTTTATATTGTTTTGAATATTTTAAATTTTAATTATTTATAAAATTAATTTGGTTTATTTGAAGGTTTTAAATGTTATATATTTGTATTATTTTTATTCTTCTAATGTGCATATTTTTCAAGTTTTTTTTAAATAATCACTCCTTCACAAAAGTTTGTATTTGCTTTTCATATTGTTTAATAGCTTCAAAACATTTTTATCTTATTTACACGTTTTATTTATAATTTAACGTCCTTTTTTTGTAACTTTTTAAAACTTTAATATTTTTGATATTTTGAACTATTTTAAACAGGTTTTCATAAAAAAAAAACTATTTTACGCATTTTTCATTTTTATTTTCAAGTTTATGCTTTTCTAATTTATGCTATAAATATCAAATTCTATTTTTCTTTTTTTACATTTTTTCTCGCATTAATATTTTACATGATTTCTTGTTTAAATTATTTTTCTGGTTCAAAAAAAATTTTTATCGTATTTTATAAACTTTAATACTACATATGATATTATTGAACTATTTCAAACTGAAATTTATTATTTTTTATATTTTACATTGTGTGCATTCCGTGTTTCTAAAATTTAATTTTTCATAAAAATTTCCTATTGCTTTCATATTTTTAATAGTTCAAAGCAAATGTTATATTATTTTCCATATTTGGTCTATAATTTTCAGGTTTGTTTAGATTTTTACTATTTTTATTTTTTTAGTCTAAAATTTCATTTTATTATTGTTATAGAATTTGGAATTTTTTTTTTATTTTATGAATTTTATGTTTTTATATAGATTATATTAATTAATTTAGAAAATTCATTAAAAAAACATTTTTTTTTTACAGTTTTTCCTATATTTAAAAAATTAAACTTTTGCTATTCGAGTTTGTATTCCTATAGTTCTTTTTTACACTTTTCTGATTTTACTTTTTAAAAAAAATCTCGTTTTCTAATTTTTTAAATTGAAGTTACAAAATTTTCAATTTTGAATGTTGAATGCATTTTGTTGAACACGTATATGCAAAGCAGTGGACACGTATAGTGACGTATATGGAAAGTAGAGGGTTCTTTACTTCTTGGTAAACACGTGCTCATGCGGATGTGTTTTAAAGCAGGAGGCTATTTTTGAAAACAAAAGCGTTACTAGTATATTTTTGAAAGAAATATTGAAAGGTAACAATATTGATATTACTTTCCAATTAACGCCTATTTGTGAAAATTTCCCTTTATATTTCTTACCAAACAAGATATATGTACAAGTCACTCTTCAAATATAATATCAATATAAATAAATCAACGAAGAATTTTAACTCCAAAATAAGATATTTTGACTTAGCAAAGTAAGAACATTTAGATTAAAACATGCAATATACCTACTAGTTTTTGTACATAAATATTATTATGTCATTGATTTTTTACATTGAATTTTATTTATTTATAAGGAGTAATATATATTGTGTGAATGTGTGTGTATTCGAATATATTTGAATATGTTTCGAATAGAATATCATAGTATTTGTATTCGTATTCAAAAACTATTCGAATCAAGAAACAGATTTGTATTTGTATCCGTATTCTATTTACTCGAATTCGAATACACATTTTCGAATTCGAATCGCGAATCGAATCAAAATTATTCGATTCTTTTACCACCCTACCGCCAGCGGGCATCACTTATCCCGCCGGAGACGCACGCTAACTCCCTCAGCCGGACATCTCCAACTCGCCATGTGCTCGCCGACTCGCCGGAGACGCACGCTAACTCCCTCAGCCAGACATCTCCAACTCGCTGGAGACGCACGCTAACTCCCTAAGTCGCTTGGCGTCTGCTCCTGCTCCGCTGCCTCTCTGCGGACGTCTGCTCCAATTCGTCTGCGGACTGCGCAACTCTCTGCCTCTCTTGGACCCTAGAAGCCGGCTGCTTCTGCTTCTCCTCTCTTCAAGCTTACTGCTTCAAGCCAAGGTAAGGGTTTCTTTCTTTTCTTTTTTTTTTTTTTTACAATTTTTGGATTAATTAAGTATTTTATTTGTTAAATTAGATTGTATTAGTGACTTAGTGTGTCACAATTGATTTGTGTAATTGTGTGCTTTGAATTGTGAAATAGAAAAATAGGAATGTCAAGTTATTTGTGAATTTTTTGAAATATTAGGATGTATTATATGAATTAAAGTAAAATATTGATTGGTTTTTTTATTTTATTGGTAATTGTAGTAGGTATGAGTGTATGACTACTCAATCTACTTCCAAAAAGGCAAAAATCACATTGCGTTATTTTTATAAGTCTAGTACAAGCGCACAATGTAGACAAGAGTTAAATGTCTCAATTGAAACTCCTAATATCTCATCCGCTCAAGTGGAAGTAGTTTGGGATGCCAACAAAAACGACGTTGAATCTGTCATAGATCAGTTTGCTAAGGTCAAAGAGCGTCATGTTCAGTTAAGTTTTAGTTTCAAACATTGTATCTATTGTTTAAAAATATTATTATGAATTTTAATGGATTTTAATCATTATGTTCACACTATTATCGTTTTTAAAATTTTTATACTACGTAATATCAGAGGTGGAGACAGGGAGGGGCTAAAAGAAGCCTCAGCCCCTGCAAGAAAAAATTCTTAATGTACATAGTGTTGTATATAAATATTTTTAATCTATAGAAAATTTGTTGAAATTTTAAACTCTGGCCCCTTCAATGTAAAATTTTTAAAACCCGGCCCCCTTAATCATAGATTTCTGGCTCCTTCACTGCTACAAAAAATGTTTTTAGTGTATAGTCGGCCCAGGGTAAACATCCGTCCTGGCTACGCCCTTGTACTCCCCAAAAATATATCATAAGCATATACAGTAGTTCTTATATTGAGAGTAAGAATATTGTGATAATCCATCAGAAACTCCATCTTACTTGATCAAAAACTCATAAAGTATGGCGTGCAGTGTGCTGGTACATACCTGGCGATTTTCCCTGTAATAAAATCTGTTTTCTGCAAAGGAAAAAAGCTGGATTAGGCTTTTTTTCCCTCTCACGTTTCATAATGGCAGTTCAGCATATTTGACTACCTTTTATTCATATGCCTTAGCATGTTCTTGTCGTGAATTATACTTGACTTCATTATGTTAGCTTGTTAGTCTACTTTTTCCTGTAAAAGAGCTGATAATTTTTTTAGCATTATTGGGACAAGTGGCGATATACAGTTAAGGAAATTAGTACTATTAAGAGGATGATAATTTCTCAGTATGACAGTACGCTCTTATGCAAGCATATAACTCAGAATCGTTATTATCTTTATTGTCCAAATATGCTAAGGGGCTGCTTACTATTTTTTTCATTAAGTCTTGTCTGGATAAAGAGTGTTGGTTTACCAATCAAGAAATTACCAAAAAAATGAAGAAAATCTGCACCAGAAATGCAAAAAATACATTTGAAGAAGCAACCAAATGAGATACTCGTATAGCAATTGCTCCTCCTTTATCATTCAAGACAAGTTTAAGAAGCACCCAAAATATCATGCAACTATTAAAGAAACTCGGTCAGGGGTAAGGATATACTACGTAATATTTGCTTCTGCTTTCATAAAAATTTGGGTTTACAGCAACAAAAATCAGAATTTTCTATTCTAACAAACAATTTAGAACAAACAACCAAAACTTAATAATTCAACAAAATATCTGAGAATGAAGATGAGTGGCCATGGAAGCTTTCTTCGCTGGTGTTTTTGCTGATTTCTTGACAGGAGAAGAAGAATAGGATGTAAATTGCACATGGAACCCCCTACGCGGCAGAACAAGGATAAAATAGAGATCGTCCATCAATTTATGCGTCTGAACTGTAAGGAGTACTAAAACAGGGCTGAGCGAATAAGTCAATAAACGACTGAGCGAATAAGTCATAATTTTAATAAAGTCGGAAGTAAACATCAATATATACCTCAATCATTAAGTCGCAATTCTTATTAAGTCCATTAAGTCACAAGTAAACAGCCCCTAAGTCTGTGTTGCGTAATAGCTTTCGTGTCATGTATAATGGAAGGTTTTCACAATATTGCAATTGAAAAAAACATTTGATGATGTTTTCACTCTCCATCAGCTTTCCCTGAGCATTTAATATTTGGGAATTGATTTTTATGTTTTTCTTGTCATATAGAAGACTATTCATTTTGTGGTATAGCATGGATGCCATGATGTCTCACTTCCAAGAAAAGTTGATCGAGCTAGAAATTGAAGGAGAGAATATTTTATTAGCCCGACAAGAGGTGCTTGAAATAATTCTTTTACTACCCATAATAATGGAAAGAGAAGTGAAATTTTTCTAACGTAATTGCAGTTAGTTGAAAATGACAGGGAAAGAAACAGAAATAGGGAAGCATTGACGGCTTAAAGGAAGAGAGCCAAGACTTCAAAAAGCAGCATAGGTCTACCTTTCGAGTCGATTATGCGGGGTATTGAGTCAAGACCATTGGTGAAAGAGATTTGTTCAACTTGTGGCAATCATGATGTGAAGGAAACCAACTGGCTTATGTTTCCAGGAACTGATGTGTTTGCTAGTATTCCATTTCATGCTGTCCATACGATTCTGGAGCAAGGTTTCTTCTTTTGCCTATACTGTTTATGTTTGTTTCTTCATGGTATGATCTTTTTAGTGTTTGCATATCTGCACAAGTTAAAAGGGATGTGTATGAATTGTTACCTTTTAATGATAGCTTGGTGTTAAATCTAAGTTATACTCCATAGGATCTTTCTGCAGAAAGTACAAAAGATGAAATGGTTGGAGTAAAATCGACACTTTTTAACTTTTAATGCAGATCAAAATAAACTAGATTATGAAGCTAAGAAACTCCAAAGCTATGTGAAGGAGAAGTCCTTTAGTCTATCAGAAAAAGGAGTTCTTGCTGACAAGATCAGCCCTGGCGTTCTTAGATCTTTGGTGACCTTGTCTGATGATCCAAAAAAAACTGCCCCAACTGAATGACTCCTTCATTCGGACATCTCCAGTTTGCTAACAACTGCTCATTTCACTCTTGGCCACACCTTCCCTGTTTTTTGGCGGTTATGACTATTAAATTCTTCAAATTAGTACTCTCGAAACCCGTATAACATCTGCATCATGGCTCGATAGTATTGTAATATATGGTTGCACAGTTTGTATCTACGCAATTTGAGGCATAAGTGTTAATTATCATCATTGTCATCGTACTCTTTCTTATTCTTGTTTTGTTATTACCATTATTCCTATTTTTCACAAGGAGATCTCAATATGCCCGTGCTCGGTGCTCTTAAAAGTTAAAACAATGATTAAATTGTGCGACATTTCTTGGTAAAGGCCTATGTAGGGATTGTAGGGGTGGGCACGTCCCGGTCTTGGACCGACCGGCCCTAAAAAGAATTTGGGAGGTCGAGAACCGGGTAGTGCTGGACTCGGGCCGGTTCGGGCCCGGTTTGGGCCTGGGCCCGGCCGGGCCTCGGGCCAGGAAAGGGAGGCCCGAGATCGAACCGCCGGTGGCCGGTTCCGGTCCCGGTTCCGGGCCAAACCGGCCTGGCCCAATTAATTTTTTTTTTGTTCTCCTATTTAATCCCCTCCCCCTCAATCCCAAACCATCCCAAACCACCTCAAATGGTCCAAAATACCTAATCCAACCTAAAACTTAAAAAAATTTCAAAAAAAAAAAAAAAATTAAAATCCGGCCCGGACCGGGCCCGAACCGGCTGGGGCCGGTTCACCAAAACCTGGGCCCGGGCCCGAACCACCCAGCAGCCGGGCCGGGCCGGGCCGAACCGAACCGGTGGACCCACCGGGCCCCGGGCCGGGCCAAACAGTAACCGGGCCGGGCCGGTTCCGGGCCGGGCGGCCCGGCCCGAGTCCAGCACTAGAACCGGGATTTATATTTCTGGTTTCGGTTGATTCCAGTCCCTACTTTTTTCAGCTTTTAAGTGTACTCTATTGCAAAAGAATGGACCAAATATTATCTTTGAAAGAAAAACACCTATTTATTAATAATAAAAAGGAAAAATAACTTTAAATATTACATTATTACTTCATACTAACTATCACCCATAAACTAATAATAATACATATTTTGAAAATTATTTTAAATAATATCAACTATTTGGATATAAAACAAAAATAATTTGGAGTCGCTTTTGGACAATAAATCCAATCATTTAAGACATTAAAAACTAATAGCAAACTATCAATTAAATGATATTTGGAAACACAACCACTTATTTGATATTTTCATACTAGTTTTTGGTAAATTAAATAACTAAATATTGAATGAAAATATGCTCTATATCACTTTTGGTCTATGTTTAGATAGTTGGTATTATTGAAAGTTATTTTTAAAGTATGTATTATTATTGGTTCACAAAAAATAGTTTGTATTACTGAAAGTTATTTTCCCTAATAAAAATGATCAATACAAAAGCAATTCAGATAGCCTAAGGGGCTACAATGGGATGAGACATAGAATTGAAAAGTTCCAAGCTACATAACAATTTGCTCTCTGCAAAGAAGTATTCTTATATCCTGTATCAACATATAAGCTTCTGCTACTTCGAATAATCAAGAATAGAAAAGTACTAAACAAACATATAAATCAGTTTCACGATGTGCAGACAAGGAAATAATAGAAAAATGATTTGTCCAGCAACCACAGAGAAACAACTATAATCCTCTGTAGATCAATTACAGGGAAGAAATTGCAAATATCATTTGTTTGATAAGCCATCAAAAAGAAGATCCAATCACGCACAATCTTTCTCTCTTAGCATGACGGTGGTTCAAGATGAGGGTGAATAATTGAGGTCTTGGAGTAATCGATGTCTAAAGTTACCCTCTCAAAAGAATCATGCAGGACAAGCATTGACATCCACCACCAAGAGGGGAAGAGAGGGGAGACGGCTATGGATCTTATGTATTTTACATATATTAGATATCGAAGCTATATGAGTTATAGTCCTTACCTTTACACGGACCTCATTATTATATTAAGCTTATACTCCCTCCGTCCCAGAAAATTCTTCCAACTTTCCTTTTTAGGACGTCCCAGAAAATTCTTCCAACTTCACCTTTTTGATTATTTGTGTGGCTCACATTCATTCCACCTTTTTCTTACGCAACTACAACCACACATTTCCACTTTATTCCCACTTTCTTAAACTCCGATCCAAGTCAAACTTGGAAGAATTTTCTGGGACGGAGGGAGTATAAGATACGGACCTCATTATTATATTAAGCTTAAATAAAATGAGCTTGATACCTGCACACTTTCCTCGTGTTAGGTGCTTAGAGTAAAAACTCATTTCGAGTTGTGCTGGAAATAAAGAAAAGTAAAGATGGCGTGATTGAAGTTTGTGAAGAAAATAGAGAAATAAGCGAAATCACAAATAAATCCATGTATATCAAGGTAAATATTAAAGTTTTTGGAACAAAAACCAGTTATGTATGAATAAAACTAAAACCGATTTGATGATTATTATAGTACTGTAAGCAAATAAATATATTCAAACATTTAATTCATGCACCATGATCCCCTCAAAACTCAATGAAGTGTTTTGTTAGTTACTCGAGTGTTATGTAAAACAAAACATGTGTACCTCAACAATTAAAATAGTGCATAGTAGTCCAGTGTGTCACAAAATTCTTTTACATTTTGATTTGTAAATATCATGCACATGTCCACCATCATATTACTCAATTAGGTCATTCATAAGCAGACTATCATGGACTATGTCATGGACTAGAAACAAATTCCTCTTCCCCCGTCAGTGCATGGGCTACACGGTTTGAAGAGCGTTTACATAGAGTCCGGTGGCACCCATCCCAAGCGCGAGCCCCCGACCTCACATGGAAACTGCGTGTCTGTGTCAGTGCTAATTTAATTTTAATCCCATCAAGTCGTGGATCCTGCCAATTCGCTACCCCGTTTGACTGCCTTGTCATATATATATCCCCCCCCCCCCCACCCCCGAGTATTTCGAGCTCCCTTCCATCATTTCTAAGTAGTCTTTGTGCAATTCAAAAAATGCAGTTCCTGCTTGATTTTCTCCTTCCATATCACACTGTTTTTTAGTTCTAAATGTTCCAAATGATTATCATAGGCTCACACCTTCCCATTTCGTGTATGAATCCTTGATGCAGTTTTTAATTCATGATTCAGACCCATCAATCTCGTTGCTATAAACTCCTCCAACCAGCTACACCATCGACCATCGGACGTGAATGAATGGCATAGTACATGCCCTCTTCTCCAGCCCCATATAACTTGTAAAAGGTTGATATATATACTCCCCTTATTCAGAGATTCAAATCCGTGGGTAGACACTCACTCACAATTTATATAAAAAAAAATGGACTTTAGTGTATATTTTAAACCCCACATACGGGTCCACCCACTCTATGATAGATTTGTCGAGAATCGAATCAAGCGGCAGTAACAAACTTTATACTGTTAAATGCCCACTCCTTTGTCCGTTCCACCAAAATGCTGTCCATCGCAATGTTATAACTCATGCTCAGTTTATTTTATACACAGTCAACCAATATTCATAGAGTATGTATTTACCATATCTTCTTGTTTTAATAACAGTTCTTCTTAGTAAAGCTCTGCATTGACTAAGTTAATACCTATGCTTCTGCATTTAGTAAAGGGATAGTAAGACAGAAGCATGATCAAGAATTATAGGTATATGCCTATCAATTAACTCTAGCCACTGCTCACTTCCTGATAGAGATTCAGCTATCTTTAGTTGTACCATAACTCTGCACCTCATAAGCTGGAGTTAATGAAAGAGTTTTTGTTCTCACATAATCAGACATAAATGAGTTCTCAAGTGATTTATCACTGAAAATATCTTCAGTTCCTTTAAATCCAGAGGCAGCACACAGACATTGATCTAAAACCTGCATGTACATCTGTGTCAAAATTTTGAAACTGTAAAGTATACCATGACTAGAGGTCCAGAACAAGGCATTATTGTTAGGAACAAAATCCAAGTCAAAGAGAGAAGTCAGAGAACATTTCCTTTTATGCATATAACATAAATGAAGAGAAGGTTTCCATTTAAGAGAGGAGAAGTGTAAAAAAAGGCATGCAAACTACTACAAAAGCTCCTCAACCTGCAATTATGCATACATTAATCAATAATGATCATAAAGCGGTATAGTACATGCTCATGCAAGCTGAGTGCACATAAGATAGTGAATGCATAGCTAACACAAGAGGAGAGGTCAAAGCACACAACAGCAGGTTAGAAACAAAGCACATCCTCATGCAGACAAAAAAATCATAAGTGTCACATAATCAAAGCTTGAGACTTTTTGTGTACTTTATTGATAAACTAAAGTCTCAAGTTTCAGACTTTATTGATGATGTACTAGGCTTTATTGATAAAGCCTAAATTCACTCCATCAGTTGCTAATTCACTTATTTCAGTGAATGTAAGCTATTAGTTTTCTTTGCTCCATAACTGATATACTCAATTAGAGGACTAGGGAACTTTTTTTTGAAAAACACTTTATGTATTATATGAATCTTGTATAAACCCCCATATACTTTGAAAAATGAATCATTAATTTAACTTATAAAAGTCAAAACAAGTTAATTTATATTTGAAAAGACTGAGTGAGATTTTTTACAGTTCATGTTTTTCTTAGTTATGGATTAAGCTTAAGGCACTGGCAGTTTCAGATCAATTTCTTTCTCAAGCATGAAAGTGATCATAAATCCAGCCAGGGCCGTCTAATGAATTTGGAGGCCCCGGTTCGAAATAGCAAATCGAGGCCCCCTAAAACAATAAAATATAACAAATTTAACAATGAAATAAAAAAAGTCAATGAAATATAAGTTTTATATACTCCATAATGTTTTAGGAGTAAAAAAAGTCCTACCCGAGCACAATCCTACGTACATAAGTACTCGCCATTGGGAATTTGGAAAGTACAGTGCTCTAGCTAAACTAATTAATTGTACAAAAACTGTTAAACTAATTAAGTAATTGTTATGTAACTGCTTCAAAAAAAAATGTACGGTTATGTAAAAACAATGTTCCTTTTTTCAATTTATAAAAACTAAAAGTTATACTCCCTCCGTCCCCTTTTAAAAGTCCCGGAAGAGGGTGGCACGAATTTTAAGAAAAGTGGGTTTGTGTGGTTGATATTAATT